AAACGTTTGCCTAATTTAAGAAAAATATTTACAATGTTTGTGCTAGACATAATTAAGCCAGATAAGGATATTTATCCTAGAAATAACTAAGATTACAAAAAAAAAAACCCCAAAACACAACCAACCAAACCAAACAAACAAAAATCCAACACCAAAACAAAACAAAATAAACCTAAGCCATTCAACATCCATTAAGGTAAAAGAAAGAAAATAAATTCAGCCAATTGGTTATTTCCATACGGGTAGATTTCCTTAAATAGTAATGAAATCATTGCCAAAAAATCCATTGTTATTAAAATAAAAAAGTTGGCTCAGCCTACCAAAATTAGATTTGTAAGTTGCTGGTCATTCCCATAATTAAATCTGTGTCACAAATTTGCAAGAAAAATGGACACTATGACTAATGCATTTACTTGCTGCACTAGTGCTGTCAGGCTGTGTAAATCATTATGCTTGCTAAAGCAGAGTAGATAAGAACTCCATACATTTTCATTAACCAACTAGTCTTTGTGTGTATGTGAGAAGCTAACTTTCATATTCCCTGCTAGCTTTAGCTTTCATTTAGAAGCAATATAAATAAAAATACTAGCTTTGATTTGATTAGCCCAAAATTGCTCCAAAAATTATTTGAGTTTTTGAACAATATGAACCAGCCTTGCCCCCTTAGAAAGATGGTCAGGTAAAACAACAAAACCATACATACCTTATTTGGACAAAGGAGATTAATGAAATGAGGGGCACCCTTCCTTCAGACTGACTTATGTAGCCTGGCCACGTGCCTTATTTCATCTCATAGGTTTCAACAGAGGAAGCACAGTTAATCCAAGACCACATTATAAGAAGTCTCAACCAACACTTTCATCTTCAACTTTCCTTTTCTCCGTGTTTTCAGGAGTGCAATGGTCATCAGAGCAGCATCCTCTGAATCCTCTCTTTTCCTCTTGATTTCTTGTCACCACAGACCTTCAGATTTTGGTTACAGTTCTTTGTTTAAAGTGAAGCTGATGGCTGTTCCTCTCATACTTATTGTTCATAGCCCCAAGGCACCAAAGAATCAGACAACATTCATTCACATCACAAGCTGGATACTCTCATGAGTTTCCAAGCCCGCTGTCTCCAGCATAAAGGAGATTAATGAGAGATAGAAAGAGATTAGACAAGGCTCTTTCTAGCTTAGTAGTGCAGAGCATTTTGTGAGGACACGCTCTTCTAGAGGTTAGGCACTCACCTTCTTCCATGCACATGGCACTATGTTGTCACTGAACATTGAGTTTAGCTCTCAACCAAGAGATGTCCAACCAATATGTCCCCACTTCGGTGCAAGAACAGACTCAGTGACAGGCTGTGCCTTGATGAACTTAATGCCAAAGGAGCTGAGCCACGCAGGCAAACACCATGGAACAATCACCAGCACAGAAAGTTTTGCAGTATCCTGCCTATTGTTCTGCACTTTGGACATAAACAAGCATTATATTTCTGTTGAAGCATAACTTTTAGAAGGAGAACAGAAATGCTTAGGAAGCATGGTAGTGCATAGAAAGTTAAGAATCACAGCAGACCCATACTTAACATCCCAGATAATTTCTTTAGGCTTTAGGTGCAAAAGTATCCTCTTTCTATCTCAGCAGATTTAGCATGCATTTGCATTTACAGTAGCAACCTTGCTGATAACCAATCACCCAGCATTAGTAAGTCACTATCAGATTTTACTAAAATCCCCTATCAAGAGAAAAAACTGAAATCATTTATGTTCCACAATTATTGTAAACCCAACTGTTAAAATTAGGGGAGGAGATAATGATATTAACTACCCAACCCAAAGCAATTCTCTGTGGTATGACTCTAAATATTCTCTTGGCCGAAATTTATGTAAATTGAATTCATCTATCCTTAGTTAGTACCAATCTAGCTACATAAAAACACTTCTCTGGAACAATTAGTTCTTTAAAACACTGTGTTTAATTAGTCCTCGGACATTATTAAACTAAGTATAAATATGTACAGTATCATTCCATGCATTGTTTTGCCTGCATATTTATAGGAATAGGAACTGCGACAGAGTTTAATTACTCTGTGGTTGGTTGGTTTCTGTAAATCTCCTTACCAGCAAAAACACCTCCAAATCCTTAATCGAAGTGTATTTCTGCTTATCAAGACATATGTGGCATTTCTACTTTTTGCATATCGCAGTGTTTTCCTTTTCATCTGAATAGACTCATCTCAGTATCATTCTAATATTATGTCTTTTCCTAAAGACATTTAGTTTCACAGTTCACTTGTATTTAACTTGTCAATGACCACTTCCTAGTCTTAAAAAAAAAAAATAATTAAAAGCATAGCAAATCTTTCAGCCTTTTTAAATCAGCTCGCTTCACAGTCATACAGAGGCTCTGGCCCCACAGGGTATAGTCTGACAACAGACAACACACCATCCTCCTGGCTTTGTCAGGGCTACACACAAGTGCAGCCACCTGCCCATATGGTACATATTGCAATACAAGGACTGTAAGAAAAACTGCAGCCTTGCCAATGGTCAGATCCTTCCAGGTTATCTCCAGAACATGTATATGGCTATGGTCACAAAGGTATATAACTGCATCTAAGTCTATCCACAGACACCACATCATCAGACACTAATAATGAAAAGGTAAATTACATTCATTATGATGATACAGGAAATAGGACATCCATCTATTGGCTTTACGTAAATTAGGCATCAATAAAAACCAAACCATTTCCAAAAAGCACCACCAGGACTTTCCATTATCTTCTCAGAGAAAGGCCAACTATTTTCATATTTTATAGAATAGTTTTGACTTCAAACAAGTACACTTATTTTTTTATTACTTTTTAAAATGCGTCGCTAGTTGTTCATGGAAAACTTACAAAGTCAGTGACCACGTGCTAGTGCTGTTCAGGAGCCGCTCAAAGGCCATATAGACCTACAGCACTGTGGAACTGGTGAACTCTGTCTGCTTATTACAGTCCATGCCCTACTATCACTCCACTGCCTTTTCAGTAACAAGATTCATCCTACCAGCTTCATAAATGGAAAAGTATGTAAGAGCAAAGCTTTCCATAAATGTATTTGTGATTTATTTCTGTCATACATACATATTCCTTACATAATCATGATTTCAAACTAGGATACCACAGTAAGTGTCTAACAGTTTGTATGTATTTGTGACTTAATAGTGTCCACTTTCTTTATTTTTTCTTTTAATCAGTCATTGGAAAAAATCAGCTGGTATTGTGGCTTGATTCTAGCTGATCTTTAACATATTTGAAAAGTCTTTACTGGGATTTTTTTTAACAAGAATGTTTACCATAATGCTGCTCCAAGATTAAAGAAAAATAAAAATAAAAAATGAAGTGAATAAAATGTCAAATGAGGTAATTATGTGTCAGTGGAACTTTCCAAGATCAGTTCATGGAACTAAGAACAAAACCAAAATCAGGAGTATTACATGAACACACAGACTAGCTTAGCTTCCTTAACTGAGATTTCTTCAAAGAGCTACAAAGAGGTTCTAGAAATCAAAATATGTATATGTTGCTTTACTAGGATCCGGCATTGTAGTCAGATGCTCTGGGGCCTAAATTCTTATTTGAAGTCAGAAGACATTCTCCTAATGACAGCGAAACTGAGGCCTCTGGGTATCCAAGGAAACCTCCTGAACTGAAAGCTGGGGACATCAGAGAAACTGGAGCACATGCCAAGCAACAAGAGAAAATGCCACGCACATACACAGACATAAAAGTTGCTTTAACACTGGGATTCCACAGTTTGAGGCAGAAAGTACCTTCTTCCCACTGGAGGAGAACATGACAGGTGACAAAAAGGAACAAGCATTTGGGAACTGACATTTGAAAAATGTGAATGGTCATCTATACCCACAAAACTTACATCCACCTTCCTAACTTTAACTGAGTCCCTCAAAAAAGCACCAGCACAATGCATAACTTCAAAACGCCATGCAACTGTCTCTCTTGGCAGTACAGCGTTGCATACTTAAACTTCCAAAATCCAGTTTTTCATAATACAAATATGCATAAAGCGAGTCACTTTTTACATGCAGTTTTGATTAGTTTCCTAATTTGAATTCTTTTGTTATTCATTCATTTTATATATCATAGTACTCTTTCTGGGGACACAAGACTGGAATCCCAAATGCATACCTGCACAAATGCATACATGCACAAATCATAGTAAATAAGAACAAATTCAATTATTAGCTGCCTAAACAAGTAAAACAGTCACATTAGCTTGCCTGCATATATAAGAATTTGTATTTAATATTCACTAATATCTCTCTAAACAATATATCAATAAAAGAAACCTATTCTTTCTTTCTTTGCAAATACATCTAGTGTTCTTTACAGTATCCTTTCTGAATCTTTGTAGACCACGAGACTCACAAATACTGTTTCAGCTTTTTACCAAAACAGTTCTATTTCCAGCTGGGTTGATTGCTTTTCCATATCTAGCTATTTTAGTGTGTTCCTCAGAGACACTGAGGGGCTTCACTGACAGTGAAATATGCTAAACAAATGACATGTCACTGAGTAAATTAGCATCTACTCTCTGATCAGCTGGGTCATGTTTTCTTTTCAAAAGCCATGGCCTCTTGATAGAAAATAATGAGTATTTGATGGGCCTTATTAGAAAAATCAATATATTGATGCCCATGTCTGCAACATCTGCATAATAATAGATTCAGTTAACACATTAAGGAGAAAATTAAGATGTGTTTACACATTATTAATTTACCATGAGCAAAGACAATTTATTCACTACTTTTCTCAAGAGTTTAAAAAAAAAAAGAAATTGTAATATCTGTATTTAATGGCTTGGTGAAATAAACTGAAAGATTATTTAAGTTTTTGCCAGCTAAATAGCACCATTCCACCAACACTAATGTGAAAAATGCAAACACACCAATGATACTGTTAAAAATTAAAACTATTAAAGCACTTGCTATAAATACTGCATTACTTACCAAAAAACTTCCAAAAGCAGAATTAAATATAGCGGCTGCCTGGAAAGAGAAAAAGATAAATATCACCAACATCAAAATAGCTATAGTACAAGAATAAAATGTTATTCTCCCACCCAACAAGCTATTAAGATTCTCCAAATACACACATACACAGAGACCATTAGGCGGTTAGCCACTGTTTAAAAAATTGCCAGTGGCCTGTAGCTTATGAAGACTGATAGATTCTAGTTTATGCATTCACAAATAATGTGCTGAAATGGACAAAAGCAGGAGAAGAAGAAAATCCTTGCCAGCAGACTTAAGAGAAATATGCACAAGAAGTAAGATTATTACACAGAAGCTTGGTCTCACTGCTTTTGCTCTAATTTGCCAGGAAAATTTTTTACATATTGACATATTAATTAAAACATATATAATCTGATTTAACTAAGCCACTCTTTTCATAAACTTTTAAAAATTTTAATGTAATATTAATCAGGCAAACAAATTAATTGTTCATCATAATAAATTATTGACAAATTCAGAAGTTTCTGTAGTTTAACAAACAAATTTAAAACAGGAACAACAAAAACAACCACCAAAATAAAACCCCAAACCACAACAACTGCATACTTCTGAGGCCAAAATGTCTAATCTTTACTTTGTACTCCATAGTCTTTTAAAGTAAGAAAATAAACAATTTTTGTAATTACTTAGAAGCTTACCTAAATATCCGGGAAATATAAGGTAGCAGTGTTATTTCTTAATATTAACTCATTAAATTCCAGGAATTTAAAACTTGAGTCTTCAATAGCTTTCCCCAATTACCAAGAAAGGACAGAAACTCTTGCAAGGCAGCCAGTCTGATGATGAAAAGCCACACAGCAAAGGTAAGAGGAAAGGGGGGAGGAAAATCTACTGTTTACATGAAGATTTAGACCAGAGTCAAATTAATCACCCTGGACACTTCCAGGCACAGATTAATAACAAGTGGATGCTAGCGAGTTTAGCAAGTTTGAATAAAGTCCAAAATCAGGATAGGAGCTGTAGCTGAACCTGCCTTCTGCTCCATAAGAGGATGCAATGAAAATGAATGGGTAATGAGATTCTTGGCTCTAGAGAGCTTAGCTTTCTTATTCAAGTTCATAATTAATTCAAAGCTTTGATAATTTCATTAGATTCCTCCTCTGCTGGCCCTATCAATAAAAGATGGCACTGGACCGCAGCTCCTCAGTGGCCCAAATACAAAAACAAATGCAGACTGGGAAACCTTTGCTGACTTGCTTACTAACAGGGACAATGGCATATGGCACTCCATGTTGCAGAGGGAGCATCTCAATAGATACAGCTAAATAAAACATTATAGTTGACAGTTGTAAACTACAGTAACATATTTTAACACCTCTTCCTCATCAGCATTTCTTTTTTGAACATAAAAAAGAGGCACAAGTCCAAACAGCTCCTCTTGCCAGAGATCACAGCTGAAAGCAAGAACGAGTACTACTTAAAAACAATTCTTCAACAAGTGTAAGTTAAACCAGGATTTTTCTACTTGTATTTGAAGCTGTACAGCTGACACTTTCGAGTGGCAAGAGGGAGATAACATTACACCCATGCAAGCAAACCTACTGCAAGGGATCAATTTCAATACAAGAGATGTCCTTGTAGGTATCTTTTGTTAAGATATCCCTCTTAAGGTTTCTATAATTGTATTTAAAAAACGACCAGGTTTATCAAGTCTCTATGGTATTTGTTGGACTCGTGCCACTTTTACACAGACTGGTATTTGACCACTTCAATCTGATAAACATGCAGAAAGGTCCTTTTTATTACATCCTGCCTCTGAATCCACGGAGGAGGATCTAGACTTCCATTTTTAAGCACACTTAGAAAAACACTTCCTTGCAAAATAGTCTTTGCTATATAAAACAGTGTAAATCAACTGTTAAGATCTGAAAGACAGAAGCATCTGGGCTCTACTTTTGCACCAGAAGGCTGGGAGGAAACTTAATGGTCCCCTCCTTCCCACGCAGATTGTGTGTGCAGAGTGACAGCTACATTTCTGTCTGCTACGAAGAACTGTATCACGCATCCTCTTTAAAAAAGCTGGTGGAAATGGATAGCGTAAGAAGTAGCCCTTCCTTCCCTAACATGCTAAATTTAACTCCATGTCTCCAAAAATACCCAGTCCTATCAGAAGATGGGTTCAGGGCAGGCTGTGCTTACAGTGCAGGTCAGGCTGCCTGACCATGTTTACTGATGCAAGAGAAATAACTTTAGTGCTGGGCAGCCCTCAACCACTTTCCTGGTCATTTCAACAATGCACAAAGATCAGTAGCTGGCAATAACCGAGACCCTTAGAAAGGCACTGTGCATCTAGCTATAGCCACTTCAGCGGCTGCCAGTCCTGATTTGAGGATCATCTGGAGACATGACATTTTATACTTAAGATACACTGCAATTCCACTTCCAGGAGAAATTCTGTACCTGGAAAGGTAGTAAGGAGGTGGTTCTGATGGTATATATTTTGGTCATCAACAAACTTCTCTTTTTTCTTCCTTCCTGAGACACCAGGAAGACTTTGAGGTTTATTTTATATTCTAAAGCATACCACAGGTACTAAGCCAACAATCTCAGACAAATTTTATGCTTCAGCTACTCAGCCAGTCATGTGCAAAAGCCATAATTCACAACTTGTCCAAAAGCATGCTAGTTTGCAATTTTTAGTTCCCTTTCTCCAAAGCATCAGAAATCATCCATGGCAGACGATTAAGCGCTCATTACAGGCAAAATAAGCAGAAAATAAAAAAATTTAAAAAAATCAGTAAGATCACAAATTAAGCTATAATCATTCAGATGATTTGCCTCAATGACAGAGAACTTAGACATGTTGATTACTGAATTTGCAGTTTCCTTTATAGACATTTCTCCTGCAAAATAAACTCAGAAGTACATTTTTCTTAAGCCCAGTTTATATTTATGATTATGGTTCAGCTTAAACAAACTGGTAGTAAACTGAATCAACTGCTCCAATTAGTAATTAAGTGTACCTAGAAGCATGACCCTGTAGAATTTAAACACTGTGCTTCCAACTCCCTTCTATCAAGAGCGATAATATTGCCTACATACCTCATAGGGCATTGTCAAAATTAATTCATTGCTTAAAAAGCACTCTGAGATCCTTAGAGAAATGATACAAATAAACATTAGCGCTGACACATTATACAGCTAGTCTCTTCATTTTCTATTTGAAACATTTATTAGTCACTATTATTGTATAACTTTTTTCAGTATTTGCTCTTTTGTGCTTCAACAGATACCAGGCTATCTGCAGTCAGTCTAAAGGAAACAGTAAAACATGAAAACATTTAGATGTCCTTATAATACCACAAGTTCAGATTTGCATGTGTTTGCAAACAGTTCATTGCACTTACCATTAATATGAGGAGAGAGTTCTCTATAAAATCAATGGTAAGATCCTTTCACAAGGTAAATGCATAGCCACATATTGAAATGCAAAGTCAGATCACATTCAAAAGCAGTAGCAGTAACAACCAGACCAATTATTCCATTTTACATCAACTCAGAGACAACAAAGACTGAAAGTCATTGCCAGTGCTCTTAACTGGACTAGTACAGAAGAGCACCTACATCTTCACTTGAGTTTAAAATAGGACACGCTAGCTTCACTAAACAACAAATTTATTTCATATTAAGTAGCTACAATTTCAGTCAACTCAGTGTGGCACTGGGCTTGAGAGAACTCTCTCACTGGTCATATTTCAAGGAAGGAGAAGGAACCAGCCCACCTCTGGAGGAAACCCATCTGGCAGTACATGGCAGAAACTTTCCTCTTTTCATACCTGAGCCTGGTGCAAAGCTTCAGCCTCTCATCTCTCACCTTATCCCAAAATATGTGTATGGAAAACACCGCCAAGATTCACGACACTGACAACAACAAGATCCAAGACAGCTCTCAGAGCAGCTTGTAACCGAGAGAAGAAATACACAAAGCCACAAGTGAGAGGCTGAGCACTTCCTCGTAGGTGGATACCCAGATGAAGTAGCAAGTACATGCAGCATTCAAGTACATGTGACTGGGCAGCAAATCAAACAAGCATGCTCAGGTTTTGGTAGAATGAAATATAGAATACATCCTGAAATCTGTTCTATTTCCTTCTATCTCGGTATCAAACTAAATTATCTTTGAATTTATTAGACCAGATATCTTTTGATAATAATGCAGCAGGACTACGTTAAAAAGAAAAGATACACTGGCAACATTTAGAACACCTGGGTCAAAACCCAACATTTTATCACTACTGGCAAGAGTCGAATTAAATGATTATGCACAACTCAACTGAAACGACAATTCCCTTTACTGCGGAGTCACAGGGAAACAATGGTGCCTAATAGTTTTATGTGTGCACCACATAAAAAGTAACAGGCTTTTTTGCCAATATGTGTATTTTTATTTTTTTTTTAACACTAGACATTTGATTCTGGAGTGCCATTTGGCAGCCTTTAGGGAGGTAAGCTTCTTAACTGTATTTAACCCTAAGCTTACACAGGGCCTGCATCCCCCAGGCACCCCACAGCTGAGAAAGCACACACTATGCACCCTAGGACCTGTTTGGCCCCAAGCTGTCCCTGCTCTGTGGAAAGGACATTCCGGAGCCAAGGTCACAGATGCATAGTAATGAAAAACTAAACAGCCTCAAAACATTTCAGAGGAAAGCAGTCTGGTCATCTCACAAAACTGCTCTGTGTATGCGTGCAATTACCTGTGGTTAAAACCTTACATTTTCAAACAAGCACTAGTGAGACACACGGCTCACGTACTACCTGCAAGACTAAATATCCTGTTTAATGAAAATGGCACAATGAAGAAGAGAGAACAACCCAGAAGGGTAGAAAAGATCTGAAGAAAGACAAGGACTCTAGCAGTACTACTGCAGGATTACGCAGCAGAGAACAAAATGTGGAAATGTAAGATTTTACAATGTCCATTATATCAATGCAAAATTTAATAGATCCGCATCTCCTACTTGATAAGGAAG